TCTAACACGAAATAAACATGCGTTGACGCTATTTTAGCATAAAATTTCAAAACAGATTCATGATGTCTATTTAATACAAAACACATACATTAAATCGTTATGCTTGGACGGTATTTATCCAATTCTACATGTTTTACGTATGCGTTTTATTTTTCCTGGGCCAACATCTTTGGAAATACAAATGCTCAGAACCGAACGAAATTTCGAATTTTAATTGATTTAACAAAGCTTAACATTGGAGATTTATTAACTTAAGAAAAAATACACATTAAATTACTCTACACAAGATAAAACATGACCCTCAGAAATTCCTAGAGTTATTTCAGATTGACGGTAGAAAAAAGATCAATGACATCAAGAATTGTTTGGTTTTTTTCAAGCACACAAGTTTATAAAAAAAATCAGGCTCTAAACATTATTCTCTCAAAGAAATATAAAGAGCATTTATCAATATAAACATATATAAAACAACATTTTCTCATATTCATTTTGTGTTATCTTGTTTTGTAAGTTACTCGGAGGGTTTTGTTTACATTGGCAACGGTCTTTTCTTAGAAAGGGGCGACAACTAAGATTAGCGGCGATGTCTATATGCCGTATTTCCAAGCATAGTTGCTGCGCCGTTACTTATGCGATTGATGCCTCGAATCAATAATTTCAATATAACAAAAGCACATGACTCTTTGGCAAACAAGGCCAAATCGTCATTTTATTTGTTTGTTTACTGGGCCCTGTATGTATTGCGCATAAGTAAAACTGGGGCTATAACAAGAGCACGTGACTATGTTAACACATGGTTTTGGTCCCGTTATAACATGGGCAAAAAGAGGGAAAAATAGCCGATTTTATGCTATAATATATTTTTTACTGTTACTTCTTTATTTTTCTTAAGGGATCACCTTAATACTTCAAATATATGTTCCTTATCATTAACCACATCAGATTCTTATGTTACAAGGTTCATATCTCTAGGACCAATATTGCCTAAGAAAATTGTTTCCTCATTAACTTAGTTTTTTTTACTTGAAAAATTGTTATTTTTTACTATAACTTTTTTTTAGTTTTAAAGGTATCTACCTCAAACTTCAAATAAATATTCTTTTTATTAACCAGAACTTATGTGACAAGGTTCATAACTCTTGAAGCAATATTTTCAGACTTATCTCCCTTTTAACTTGGCCTTTCTTTAAGAAATATAACTTTTTTACTTTTTAAGGTTATTCTTCAAACTTCAAATACAAATTTCGAATTATTACACACATGTTGTGTGACAAGGTCCATAACTCTAGTGAGATTATTTCCCCTTGAACTTAGAATTTTTATTAACAACTATAACCTCTTGTCATTAGAAGAAATATACTTGTATCATAACTGATTTTTTATGCCCCCCGAAAAATTTTGGGGGAGCATATAGTGCGGCCTTGTCCGTCCGTCATTTCGTCCCTCCGTCCCTGCGTCCGTCCGCTTTTCTTGTCCGGGACATAACTTTGAAACAACAAGAGTTATCAACATGAAACTTTGTAGGTAGATAGATCTCATTGAGAAGGTGTACAGTGCACAAGAACCGTAACTCTGCCTTGCCTAATTTTTTAATTATTCCCCTTTGTTTATTTTTAAACTTTGAACTTTGTCCAGGACATAACTCTAAAACTATAAGAAGGATCAACATGAAACTTTGCAGGTAGATAGATCTCATTGAGTAGGTGTGCAGTGCACAAGAACCGTAACTCTGTCTTGCCTATTTTTTAGCTCACCTGTCACAAAATGACAGGGTGAGCTTTTGTGATCGCTTTTTGTCCGTCGTCCGTCCGTCCGTCCGTAAACTTTTACTTTAAATGACATCTCCTCATAAACCACGAAGCCAATTTCATCCAAACTTCACAGGAATGTTCCTTTGGTAGTCACCTTTAAAAATTGTTCAAAGAATTTAATTCCATGCAGAACTCTGGTTGCCATGGCAACCGAAAGAAAAAACTTTAAATATCTTCTTTTAAAGAACTCAAAGAGCTAGAGCTTAGATATTTGGCGTGAAACATCTTCTAGTGAGTGTCTACCAAGTTTGTTCAAATAAAAGCCCTGGGGTCAAAATTGGCCCCGCCTTGGGGGGTCATTGATTTTCCCTATATGCATATAGTAAAAACTTAAAAAATCTTCTTTTAAAGAGCCCAAAGAGCTAGAGCTAAGATATTTAGCATGAAACATGTTCTAATGGGTGTCTACCAAGTTTGTTCAAATAAAAGTCCTGGGGTCAAAATTGGCCCCGCCCCGGGGGGTCATTGATTTTCCCTATATGCATATAGTAAAAACTTAAAAAATCTTCTTTTAAAGAACTCAAAGAGCTATGGCTAAGATATTGAGCATCAAACATGTTCTTATATGTGTCTACCAAGTTTGTTCAAATAAAAGCCCTGGGGTCAAAATTGGCACTGCCCCGGATTGATTTTCCTTATATGTGTATAACAAAAACTTAAAAAAATCTTCTTTGAAAAAAACCCAAATAGCTAGAGTTAAGATATTAAGCATGAAACATCTTTAAGTGAGTGTCTACAAAGTTTGTTCAAATAAAAGACCTGGGTCAAAATTGGCCCCGCCCCGGGGGTCATTGATTTTCTTTATATGTGTTTAGCAAAACTTTAAATCTTCTTTTGAAAAAACCCAAATAGCTAGAGTTTTAGATATTAAGCATGAAAACATCTTCTAGTAAGTGTCTACAAAGTTTGTTCAAATAAAAGCCCTGGGGTCAAAACTGGCCGGCCCCAGGGGTGTCATTGTTTTTAACTATATGTGTATAGTAAAAACTTAAAAAAAAATTTCTTTTAAAAAGCCAATGAGCTAGAGCTTAGATGTTTAGCATGAAACATTCTTCTTATGGGTGTCTACCAAGTTTGTGAAAATAAAAGCCCTTGGGTTAAATTGGCCCTGCAACGTTGGAGGGGAGGGGTAGTGGGGGTAGGGGGGGGGCCTATATACAGGTGAGCGACCTCAGGGCCATCATGGCCCTCTTGTTGAATTATCCCCCTTTGTTAATTTTACACTTTGAACTTTGTCCAGGACATAACTCTAAAACTATAAGATGTATCAACATGAAACTTTGTAGGTAGATAGATCTCATTTAGTAGGTTTGCAGTGCACAAGAACTGTAACACTGTCTTGCCTAATTTTGAAGTTATTGCCTTTGTTTATTTTGACACTTTGAACTTTGTCCGGGACATTACTCTAAAATTATAAGAGATATTAACATGAAACTTTGTAGATAGATAGGTCTCATTGGGGTAGAAGTGCAGTGCTTAAGAATCATTACTCTGCCTTGCCTTATTTTGAAGTTATTGCCCTTTGTTTATTTTTACTTTTGACTTTTGTCTGGGACATAACTTTAAAACTATTAGAGTTATCAACATGAAACTTTGTAGGTAGCTAGATATCATTGCTTAGTACTGCAATGCTTAAAGAACCTAAACAAAGCCTGGTCTAATTTTGGAGTTATTGCCCTTTGTTTCATTTTTACACTTTGAATTTTTACCTGGGACATAACTCTGAAACTATAAGAGATATCATCAGGAAACTTTATAGATAGATAGATCTCATTGAATAGAAGTGCAGTGCAAAAAAACATTACTCCGCCTTGCCTAATTTTGGAGTTTTTGCCCTTTGTTCATTTTTTTATACTTTCCTGTGTCCAGAACCTTCTCGGGGAAGCATCGCCCGTTTCAACCGGTTCTTGTCTTTCATAGTTTTGTCTTCCATACTGAGTCCAGTTTTTAATTATTCGAGCTTTGCTGTCTTCCTGTGACAGCTCTTGTTGTTCATACAGCCTTTAATTTTTAAATTAATGTGTTTCATGTTTGATACTGACATGCCCTTGGAGGTCCTCTTCTTTTGGGTTTTGTTAGGGGTCATTTGGGTTCAAGTCACCATGTCAAAAATAGCGAAGGATTTTAAAATAACATTGCATAAATGTCTACAATATCAAGACGATGTGTTGCATCCAAGAATCATGTCCCTGCCTCAAAGGTCAAGGTCAAACTGACATTTTGAATTTTCACTTTATCACTTTTAGAGTTTATAGGTACACACATTCGTTTCAGACTGTAACTTTGACATGCATCGAAGGAATTTAAAAATAACAAATGTCTCTACACATCAAGACAATGTGTTGCTGCTAAGGCTCATGTCTGTCCATGCGTCCCCACTTTCACGACAGCCGAGTCCAGAATGTAACTTTGTCATGCGTTGAGGGATTTTGAAATACTTGGCACAAATGTGTACCACATCACTATGTTGTTGCATCCAAGAACCTAGTCCCTTCTTCAAAGGTCAAGGTCACACATACATTTTGAAGGTTCACCCTACTACAATAAGAGATTATAGGTACACACATTCGTTCCTAAACTGTAACTTTGTCATGCATCAAAGGATTTTAAAATAACTTGGCATTAATGTCTACTACATCAAGACGATGTGTCAAGTCCAAGACTCATGTCCCTACCTCCAAGGTCGAGGTCACACTTATTATTTGAAGTATGTTCACATTCCTGTCAGGACTTACCTTTGTTGTTCATTGAAGGATTTTTAAATAACTTTGCACAAGTGTCTACCACACTAGACAATGTGTCGCAGCTAAGGCCCATATCACTACCTAAAAGATCAAGGTCACACATACAGGCACACATTTGTGTCCAAACTTAAGCTTTGTCATGCATGGAAGGATTTTAAAATTACTTGACACAAAAGTCAAACACATCATGGTGATGTGTTTCATTAGTCAAAGGTCAAAGTTTGTTAATCAAATGTCAAGGTCACACTTACATTTTGAAGGTTTCATATTCTCACTAGTGTTCAAAAGGTATACACATTTGTGTCTGGACTAACTTTTTATGCAATGAAGGAATTTTAAATAACGTAGCATATAATGTCTACCACATGAAGATGACATGTCGCGGTTTAAGACTTATGTTCCTACCTCCAAGGTCACTCTTACAGTTAGAAGGTTTTCATTTTCTCTCAAGAAGAGTTTGAAGATACACATACATGTCCAGACTGTAAAAAACTTTATCATGCAAAGTTTTAAGTTTTAAATAACTTTGCACAAATGTCTACAACATCAAGACATGTTGTAAGACCCATGTTCCTATCTCCAAGGTCAAGGTCACTCTAATAGTTTGAAGGTACTTATGCTCATAAGAAGAGTTTGAAGGTACACATTAGTTTCCAAGGATTTTAAAAATAACTTGCATAAATGTCTACCCCATCAAGATTATCACATCTAAGATGGTCTTGGTTTTTAGCATATACTTTTTAATTATTTAGAACTTGTTTAAGATCTTTTTATACAAATTTAGAATTGTGATATGTTAGATAAAATCATTATTTATAACGGATTCCTGAAGGACGGCCTGAGTCAGACGAGATTCCTTTCAATCCTTCCACTTCCCAATGGCAAGGCAGACACCATTACCAACAGCTTCAAGAACTACAACTTCCACTCACCAAGATGTGTGCCTTTGGAAGTGATGGGGGCAAGTGTGATGGTTGGAGCGAGAAATGGTGTAGCAGCTCAGCTGAGACAACTCATCCCTCACCTGATCATCAAACATTGTGTTGCTCATCGCCTCACTCTGGCAGCAGGACAAGCATCAAAGGGACTCTTCTACCTGCAAAAAGACATCCTTGGGGACCTGTATCGCTTCTATGCTAAAAGTGCTGTTAGAACGCAAAGACTGGGTGACATACAAGTAAGTGTATAATATGAAAGACAAAAAAAGATATATGTAAAAAGTATTTTCAGGGAAATCATGATCATGCTTAGTCTCTTTAATGTTGGTTCTAGTCTGATTCATGACCATGGTTTTTTTCTTTATCAGTCCAGAAAGTTGACTAAAATTTGATATGAATATGCTCAAAAGCTCTATTCAAGATGACATGATATGTTAAAACGGTACAGTCTGAAATTTTAATCTTTTTCATATTGCTTTCAACTGAATAATATCATAATTAATGTCCAAGCAGCTTACAGTGGAAAGAAATACTTGTCAGACTAAATAGTCTTGTGAGTCAGACTAAATAGTCTTGTCATCATATTTTGCTTGTTTATTTTCAGGAGTTGATGCACGAGCCAGGCATCAAATTAGTTGAGGCCAAGGATGTGAGATGGCTGTCGCATGATAAAGCCACTACCACTCTGAGGAGATGTCTCCCTTCTGTGTACACCAGTTTAGAGTATGAGACAGAGGAACACAATGATTCCAGGGCAGCAGGCCTCTTCAGGTTCACACAGAACTATCAGTTTGTCGTGACTACACATGATGTGTGACGTTCTGCCTCATCTGTCTAACCTTTCCAAGGCTATGCAGGAAATCTTTTCTTCTTTTTAAGCTTAATAGTGGACTGAGTCATTTTTAGCTCACCTGTCACAAAGTGACAGGGTGAGCTTTTGTGATCGCTTTTCGTCCGGCGTCCGTCCGTCCGTAAACTTTTACTATAAATGACATCTCCTCATAAACCACTAAGCCAATTTCATCCAAACTTCACAGGAATGTTCCTTTGGTGGTCACCTTTAAAAATTGTTCAAAGAATTTAACTCTGCCATAGCAACCGAAAGAAAAAACTTTAAATATCTTCTTTTAAAAAACCTAAAGAGCTAGAGCTTAGATATTTGGCATGAAACATCTTCTAGTGAGTGTCTACCAAGTTTGTTCAAATAAAAGCCCTGGGGTCAAAATTGGCCCCGCCCCAGGGGGTCATTGATTTTGCCTATATGCATATAGTAAAAACTTAAAAAATCTTCTTTGAAAAAACCCAAATAGCTAGAGTTTAGATATTAAGCATGAAACATGTTCTAGAAAGTGTCTACAAAGTTTGTTCAAATAAAAGCCCTGGGCTCAAAACTGGCCCCGCCCCAGGGGTGTCATTGTTTTAACTATATGTGTATGGTAAAAACTTAAAAATCTTCTTTTAAAAAACCCAATGAGCTTCAGCTTAGATGTTTAGCATGAAACATCTTCTTATGGGTGTCTACCAAGTTTGTTCAAATAAAAGCCCTTGGGTTAAAATTGGCTCTGCCGGTGGTGGGGGAGGGGGCAGATCATTGTTTTTCATTATATGTCTGTAGTAAAAACTTAACATCATGAAATATTTTGTTCAAATAAAAGCCCTGGGGTTTAAACTGGCCCCGCTTTGGGGGCCTATATACAGGTGAGCGACCTCAGGGCCATCATGGCCCTCTTGTTTCTTAATAGAACTCATTTAAATCATTCAAGTATACTTCATTGAACTCACAAGTACTGGTGTCTTCTGGGCCTGGTGTTGTACAATGACATAGGATTTTAACTAAAGTTCAGTTCGAACCTTTATCCTTTAAGGTCTAAGGCACTAATTAAAACAAATAGAAGGCATCCAAACTTATTTGGCAAAAATTATCCTACAATTATGTAAATGTATGTTTACCTTAAAATCAATAGTAGAGATTTATATTGTCTTGAATTAATTTTGTTAACAAGAGTTTGTATTTGTCATGTCTTCAGTACTTCAGGGCCTCATGATGACACCAGGAGTACACTTTGAGGCAGACCCAGATAGAGTTGCTGCTCTAAAGGCAGAGGGTTTTAGCATCACTTTGCCAACACCAGATCAGGTTATCAGGTACAAAGAACAGGTCATTCACCGGTTGATCACCAATCTAGAAGAAAGATTTCCTGATCTGCCAGTACTTCAGCTCTTTGATGAATTTGACACAACAAAGTTCCCAAATGGTGATCTGGGTAACCATGGAGAGAATGAAATCAAGGTAATATACATGTAGCTGAATATGTAAACTTGATTATATTTTAGCAAGGATATCTATTTGACTGAACTTAATTGATTAGTATTTACAAAACAACAATATCTGTATTCAATTTTATTCATAAACAATCTTTAATAAATTTAAAATATTTAACTGATGAGCAATCTCATGTTATTTCAGAAACTAGTTTAGCACTTCAACCTTCCAGTAGAGTCCACTGTGTGTAACTGGCAGCAGGTACGTGGTGCACTACATGGCACAGACCAGAATGCAGACAAGGCCATAGAGTGAATCACCAACCTACATACAAGCCACCAACACTTGTACAAGCTGGCCGCTGTAGGTCTACTGCTTCCTTCAACTGCTGGTAAGATATAGTTAAAGTCACATTTGCCTGTACAAATAAAAATTGAACACTTTATAACTGACCATAAATCTGAACAAAAGATGGTTCTAGCTTAAGGGCCAAAAAATAGGTGATACTGTAAATGAAATTATAATGTGCACATGATATCATTTTTAATCTTTATGGGCCTTTAATTAATTTAGAAACAATCTTAAAAAGTTCTTTTAAAATAATAACAATTTTTTATATTTCTCTCTATATTTGGATCTTCATAATACTTTATTTGGATCTTAATAATTTACATGTAGAAACTATGTTGAAAAAATTCATAACCTGAAAGTATGTTCTATTTCAGACTGTGAGAGGGGCTTTAGCTCTATGAAGAGAATTAATGCGGAGAATTGTGCCTCACTAAAATCCACTGTCCTCAATGCATTGATGATGTTGAGCATGGAGGGCCCTCCCCTAGAGGCAGTGGATTTCAGTGAGATGGTGGACACATGGTACAAGGAAAAACCTAGAAGGACTGAACTGTAAAAAGTGTAAATACAGGATTAGTGACAATGTGAAAATGAAAGCGTAAAAATGTAAATTAAGAAAGAAATTGTTTGTGTTAAACTGTGAAGAGTGGACTATATCTATAGATAAACAGTTAATGTATATAGTGTTTATAAATGTCTTTTTGTGTTGTTTTTTTCATTGTAAATAGTTAATGTATATATTATTTATATATGTTTTTTTCATTGTGTTGTTTTCTTAGTTTTATGATAATTGTGTAATAAATTGTTAAAATGTTACATTTATTTGTTAACTTTTTATAACCCCCGAAACAAAGTTTGGGGGTGTATATAGGAGTCACTAGGTAGTCGGTTATTATGGTAGGTCCAGCCGTTCGTTGCATTTTCCTTGTCCCGGAGCATAACTTGAAGACTAAACGTTGGAATTCAATATAACTTCATACAATGGTCAAGCACATTGAGAGGAAGTGCAGTGTACAAGAACCATAACTCCATCTTGACTAATTACAGAGTTATTGCCCTTTGTTACTTTTCCTTGTCCGGAGCATAGCTTGAAAACTACTGGAATTCAAAACAACTTCATACAATTATCAAGCACAATCGGGGGAAGTGCAGTGCACAAGAACCATAACTCTATCTAAAGTAATTATATTGAGAGGAAGCCCAGTGCATAGAAATCATAACTCTTTCTTGATTCATTTAAAAGTTTTTTGCTCTTTAATACTTTTAATAGTCCAGTTCATAACTGGAAAATTAATGTTTAGAATTCAATGAAACTTTATACAATGGTCTGTGAGATGAAGTGCAGAAGAACCATAACTATTTGGACTAATTACAGTTATTGCCCTTTGTTACTTTTTTTGTCCAGTGCATAACTTGAAAACTAGTAGTTGGAATTTAATACAACTTCATACAATCGTCAAGCACAATGAGAGGAAGTGCAGTGTACAATAACCATAACTCCATCTTCAGTATATTTAGAGTTATTGCCCTTTGTCCTTGTCTATCTGGACTTATTACAGACTAATTCAATAAAACTTCATCAATGGTCAACCACATTGAAAACAAGAACCACAACTATCTTTAATTGCCCACAACCATAACTCTATTTCAATTTCAATTCTTTTATAAGGTAATCTGTTATCCTCATTTCCAAAGCAGTCTTGCGGGGGAGGGGGGGAGGGGGTATAGTTCTAGTTTGTTTTCTTTTCCAGAATATTGTGCATTATTATGAAAGTTATGCACTCTTGCTGAAAAAAGTTTGATGAATTTCACGGAAATGTTTTCAGTGCGATATCTAAAATTTTTATAAAAAAAGGGCATTACAAAAAAAAAATTGTAAGTAAAAAACAACAGCATTAGTCCATTAGAGAAATCTGTTCTCTGTCCAATTTAAAGTTTCTTAAGCAATTACTCAAAGTACATGTATAATTGTATATGTGGGGTGGTACATACCAAAAAACAACCAAAAGTGCAACACTTAATACAAGGCCTGGATGAGCAAGATACCTCTATTATATAAATAATTATCAGTGATAATAGTATATAACCTTTTTTCTTCTAAAAAAAATCCAGATATATTCAAAACAGAGAAAAGGAACAACAATTATTTCTTAACATTTGACTGTTTTATTTAACATAATTATTTTTTTTCACAAGAAAGTATATAAGAAATAATATAATTTTTAGTATGAAAAATAGTGAAGTGACAGGGAAAGGTTCAGCAAAATAAAATAAACCCCCAACAACAAATAAGTTAGAATAACCCCTTCAAGACACTTCTATTTAATATAAAACAGGTTTTTTCCATGCACACATAATAATAAACAACATTTATTCTAAATAACAAACTGGTTTTAAATTTCTTCATGTCACTATCATCATGCTTGTATACATTTTTACAGCATAATCTATTGTAAATCATTTACCTGAAAGTTTGAATAACAATAAACTCAACACTTGCAGGATTAATATATTGTATCATATCTATGAACAATTCTACCACCAGGGTTGTTTTTAGAAAATACAGATGCATGAATGCATAAAATTTGTATTATTTGTTAAAACTGGTATTTTAGATGTAAGATCACAACAAGTATGTGCTTAGTCCTTAACAATGCCTGTGATACAGGTTTTATTTTTTCAGTGCATGTGTACTAATCTACTTGTTTCAAATTTGCACAGTTAAAATCTTCATCAGTTTTAATAAATATCAAATAAATGAAAAAATCATGTTATAAAATTAAACTTAAAAGTATTTTTTTAAACTTAAATATTGTTACTTGCCTTTATAAATAAAGTGAAGCTTTAAACATATCATCAGCATGAATCTGATAAAAAATTTAAGGTTACAAGATGTCACAAATGTTTATATCACACAATGATAGAAAGATAAAATTATGTACATGATTTTTTTTCTATGTTTAAATGTCTGTTTCGCTGTTAAACTTGACTTTGGTCAAGTGCTGTATTGAACGAATTATTCTTGTACATTCCACATGTGCCTAAATGCTGAAAAATAAAGAGACATTTAATAAGCAATATGTGTTATAAAAAAAGAAATTAAAGCTATACTTGTCTGTAATTTTAGTTTTCACCCTTTTGGATTTGCCAAATGGTTAAAACACCATAAACAAAAAATGCAGTTTATTTTGATACTATCACTTTTTAGTTTGAAATTTAATTTAATATTAAAAAAGGAAAAAAGAATGCTCTAATATGAGAAAAAGTTTGAAAGTGATTTATTTCAATTCTAGTTTTTTAGTAAAGAATTTGGTAATACATGTATAGAGGAATATATCATAAATGGTCAACTTACTTCTGTAAATTTCTGTGATCGACAATAGAACTGTGTTGGCATTGTGTGGACAGATGGATTTTTTTGACCAATAGTATTTGATGTTGTCTTGTACATAGGGTGCTCTGGTTTACCTCCATATCCCTTAAACCATGCTGGAATTAAAAGTAAAATATGTTCACAAATTAAACATGATTTTTTTCATCTCTTCAAAACTAACTAAAATTCACTTACAAGAGGATATTTGTTTTGCATCTAAGATAAAAAAAAAACATACATGTATTTAACAGTCAGCACACCAATGAAATGTTTTCACAAATGCCTAACATTTGACATACTATTTGCAAAATGTTAAATTATAAAAAAATTATAGATACTTCTGAAATAAGTCAAAATTACTTGTATTATTTAAAAGTATAGAACTTCATTGACATTTAGTTTATGGTCAGAACAATTTTACCAATGTGTGTATGTTTTGCAATTATTTCTACTGAATCATAATATTTTTAGATAAACTTAATTTATGAAAAGATTATAGACTGGTGACCATCCTAAAAATGCTCAAACCCCAAACAGTTTCTTAAACAACTAGTGAAAAGCAACATGAGCCAACCAGGTTATATTGCAAGCTTAATACCATATTAGTATATATGCCCTAATAAAAATTATTCTCGGTGTGACATAATACATGCTTACTTAAATATTGGATACATACTTGGATTATCAAATCTGTTTGGTATATTTTTTGTTCGGTAATAGTCTGATGTCTTCTCATTTGCTGCAGCCATCTGAAAATACATAATTTTTAAGCTGTGAAATCAATTCAATATCTTACATTGCATTTCTTAAATGTAAGCAAGCCAACCATGATGAAATCTATACCATAATAAGGTGTTTACCCAGGATATTTTAGTTAAGTGGAAAGGAAATCCAGGAAGAACTATTCATTGTATCCATTATATATAATTAGCATTAATTATACAGAAAAAGATAAAGAAAGTTTGTTAAGATATAACCTCATTATAAATAATTGTACACCCTTTGTGGAGAACATATTGAGGGTTGACTGAAATAACTTAAATGAAATTAAGGTCTTACAACAGTTATGCAATAAACCCTCGATATACTTTCAATAATTGAGAGGGGGGGTGTAACTGCAGCTTAATGTGAAATGTAAAAATAAAACTAAGGGAGAAGAATCTCAATTCCTGCATATATGAATTATAAATTTCCCTTAGTTTTAAGGTCATTTGGCCATTGAGTTACTATTCAGTCACTATTTCACTATTTATAACTAGATCTACTGTAAATGAATATGCTAAACTGGAACATGAGCAATTTTTCTGTTTTGGTAGCCAGTACCCATCTGTCCGCAGCTATTCTTTTAACAATTATATTTACCCAATTTATTTGAATATTTCTTCAATATCAATTAATATTTCTAATAAAAATATTTAAATATTGTCCTTTTTTTTTTCTAAATTATAGTAAATTTTTAAAAATGAATTTGTACAATATGAAAATGCTTAAAAATATACAACATTTTTTGTTTACAGTATGGATGACATGTATTGAAAAAAAAATGAAATAGCAGTATTAAATTTTAAATTTATCATGGTCCGCCTCGTCTCGAGTCATGGTCCGCCCTGTCCCAAAATATGGTCCGCCCTGCCCAAATATACGGTCCGCCCTGGTAAGGTATGGCCTGTCTCACGGTCCGCCTCGTCCTACGACCCTGCTAGCGTTAGTGTTTGGGTTATGGTAAGATTAGTCAAAATATATATTGATGTGCCAAATTAAAGCTAGATTCAGAGATGTTTTTGTTCTGGATGGAGACCATACTGTACACAAAGTATCACAATATCTCATCGCGAAGTACAATAAGTTAGACTAGTGTTAGAATCTTGCTGCAGACAGATTTTAAAAATGCTCCAGATAGATCTCTAGATTCACGGCTTTAATTATCAGCCGTGCAAGATCCGAATATTATCATATTGAAAATCATTACCTGTTCGCACTGCTGTGAATCTTCCATTGACATTATTACTTTTCACTGCTCTCCAAATAAGTTACCTATTAAATTTGTTAACTTGTTAAAATAGTTCAGAATTAAAAAACAGTTGTTTATGTTGCCACTGACAACGGGACATGCGCAGTAATTGTATCCGGTGTAGTAATAGTCGGCGTCCATCACGTATGCGGAACTGGTTCACGTACAACACCATAATTTTACAAAGCTCCATAATTAATAAAAACAAATTCGGAACCTTGTTTTCTTTAAAGCAGCATGCCTTCAGATTCATGCTAATTTTCATAAAAAAATGAAAATTTATTTATTATAAGGAAAATATTGTAAAGTCAACAAGGAAAGAAATTCACTTATGCTCTAATTCGTTACAGTACACTCAAACGAGCATAAATCATTTACATTCTTTTATAATACACCTTTGAAATAATAAACAACACAACACAAAGTTTAAGGAGGCTAGAGGGAGTATTTGTAAGCCGTCGACACTAACCGTTTATTTTCCGAAAAAGTTCTGTATATAAAGCTACATATCAATTTTTGTTAAGACAAAAGTCCAAAAAAGCTTCCACATGACTTATAGTAATAAATTTTCTAAGCAAATTCAACTGTTTAAATATGCCAAATACTTCTTGTAAAAGTAAAGAAATATAAACGTTCCAATATTACTGAATAAGAGGGTTTTGTAAATATGTTCGAAAAGTCAGGTTGCTGCGAGCGGGATACCCAACCCTTCTCCAACGTGGGAGGGGAGGTATTGTTGAAGGATGAATCCAGGCTCAAGACCAGCGGCTCCTTCGAACCTACCTGACATAAAACCCAAATTTAGCGGTCTCAAATTTTATGTCATAATGGAAAAAGGAAACGAATTTTGAGAATTATAAATAGGCAAAGTCAAAAATAATTTCTCTCTGAAATAAACTCATTTCATGTCCATAATTATATGCAAACAGAATAATAATTTACAGTGAATCAAAACAGAATTAAATGAATATGCCTCATTGATTTTTGAAAGTCCATGAATCATATTTATTTCGTATAATAAGGCACTTTTTACTTTGCTCCAAGCTGTACATAATCCTGAAAAAGAAAACAATTGTAAGAAACATTTACAAAACTTTCTGTATAATATAATCGAAATTATTTCAATATTTTCGGAAATTTCACATCTAAACGGCTTGGCAAATAAACCTCGAATGCCCGCTTTACTAATTACAAGAAACTCGTGCACTATTGCCGCCAAAAACATAACTTCCGAAGGAAATACTAAGTTACGGTGTATGATTCAGATAATAAATACATAAATTGCTTGCAGTTCAGGTGTATTACAAAAGTGTATTAGAAAGGAGAAAAGAGCTCAAAAATATGGGAGAGCTCAAATAAATTAATATGCAAAAAATAAAAAAAAATAAAAATAGCCCATACTGTGTCAATATGATGTAGTAGAATTATGGTGATAAAAATAGCCCTTGCTGTGTTACTATGATGTAGTAGCTAGAATTATGGTGATAAATACCACACTGGCCATAGCTTTCGCAGAAGTGGTGGGTCCATCGCCGCGGCGGTGGAGTATTTGTCGCAGAAGCAGTGGATAAAATATGGCCGTTTGCTGTAGTCGGTAAGTATATGACTGAATTTTAATGTTTTACTTGAAACACTAAGTGAGACTGGAGCCCACATATGTAGATCTACTCTTTAAACCTATTACACGCACACGGTGCAATTTATTGCCGGTTATGCAATGAGGGGACGCCACTTTGCCTATTTTTTGTTAAAACACATGCAAATACTGCAAAATCATTTATAATCGCACAACACAACATGAATCCTGAATCTTTTAAAATCTTAGTGCAATGTACATTTTCTCAAGTTTGATGTTCTGAAATATTTTGGATAATCTGGAGACATTCAGCATGTATTCAACAACGATGATAAAACACTGCAGGTAACAAAAATGTACATGATAAGCTCGATATCAAAAGGAAAAAATTGCAATGAGAGATGTAGAAACTGACATGTTTTATTGGTATCCAGATCTGTTGTTTGTTGCATCGTCTTTCCAGTTAATGATGAATTTTATAAAGGCCAACTCATCGCAAACAAGGCAAAAAAAGGGTGCTAAATGCTTTTTTTAATTGCATGAAATTTCTTGGAATCTTTAGACTTCCTTCCAGAATGATGTTGTCGCCTCGTGGCTTCATTGAAACAATCATAAAAACACCAAACAAAATTAATAGAACTTTAAGGGAACGATCTACAAAACATAGACTAACGGTAGAATAATTATTGTTTTATTATTTGGCACCTCTGACAGAAAGTCTTTTCCTATATGGAAAAAAATGTTGAGAAAGCTACGGCCAGGTACGTTTGTAACAACTATGATTTCGCCAGGTGCTAATCCAGTTTGTTACAGAACCTTTATAAGGGTCCATAACTCCCTGATTATCGGTCACTTGGGGAGTATATCAAGTATGTTCCACTATAAAGTAAAGCACGCCTGTTCTGTTTTATCCAATTCAAACTTTTATATTTCTTTTTAGTCCATTTTATCTTTCTTACTAGTAACGCGCTAAGTCTAGGTCTCGGGAGACAATGTCCTTATCCTAACTCGCAGTACAATTACATTTAGCAGGAATACGAGGTTTTTTGGTCTGAGTATAGAATATGCGTCTGTATCACAGACAGGAAAAATAACATGGTGTTTTTGCAGACAAATGTCTACAAGAATATTAGGGGAAAACTGCCTGATTTTATAGAATTTTCCAGACAAAAAAAAAAAAAAACAACTTTATATATCATCTGCTTTAGAAAGCAAAATGCCCTGAAATTGTACAAATTACAAAACAATAATTATAAACAAAATAGAAACCTTAAGGAGATAACTTTAAAATGATTATTGGTTTTATAGATTTAAAATCATTTCCGCATTTTACGTTTATAAAAGAAAGACACTAGCTAGAGTTATATAAGAAGCGCAGCGCGAATCATGCAAGCAAGTTTTTAAGTGGGTACGTACATCTTATGAGAGCCAGTTTTTACCTGCTATTTTACTCTTTATTTCTCTCATCTCATGATCTGGGTATCATTATTGAACAGACAAACATGACAAGCGCACGGATTTAAATGTCAAGCTCACTATAACAATAATATATCGTCATCTTAGTGTCATATTGGCATGACTAGATCTATTTAGAAAGCCCAGCACTACACTATATACGTGACGGTCTGCTTGTAAAGGGAGGTAATTACATCACGTACTTTGATGAATTTTATTTATGGACTAGGTTTGCTTAACGTTTGAAATGAAAATGGCGAATACGGAAGTCAGGTAAATTACAGGTGTGATAAATATCTGCTAAAATTTTAAAGAGAGCAATAATCGGTCAATATTTACATCATGTTCATTGTAAATCGGAATTAGGTTCGAATGTTGCTGATTTTATGTATAATTTGTCATCCAATATTTTTATATGGAGCGATTTTTGATGACCTACTTTTTGCCTTGTTTTGATGAACCAAACTTGACATTTTTTATTATTATACAATGGTTATAGGGCTACAAGCATGAACTATATGCGTTGTGTTTTTTATTCCCATAAATCCAACCTTTCTGATAAGGTTGCTAGAAATATCATTATTTAATGTATAAATTTTACTGTAATTTGAGCTGTTGATAAAATTCCTTTCTTATTATGTCATTTGATTATTACTTAGTTGAAAAGCCGAGAAAAGAAAGTTTTGTTGTTATTTAGATAAGGTGATCAGATCCTGAATAGATGGGGACTAATCCAGAGTAGTCCAACTCATTGTACTACACAATGGGATATTGCGCTGCTATTTGTGTATGGCATACATGCCATAATTTCCAGACTGTTTTCCGGGACACTTTAAAAAATTGTTTCTAAAATTAACATAGCAGAATGTAACCTAGTAAACTTGCAAATATTATGATACAGTAAAGCATGCGCTATGCTATATCACTGTGGTAGCAAAAGGTATTCAGCATACCTGTTTTTATATGGTCATAATGCCACATCTGACAAAAAAATGTTAATAAAGCAGCTTATAAAGTTTTGTAAGCCAGAACCATCACAGCGGAAGCTTCAAGGCGGGTAACATTCACTGTTAAATCACCACAATTTATCTCTGAAAAGTCACCGTGTTTTATATCACAGAAATGAGGTGTACCTTTCTATTTTCTAATAAATTAAAACATTTATAAGTAATTGTCTCAAGACTCGTATGTTAAAAATAATGCTCAAAATTGCGACACTTCAAAAATAATTGCAAGTATGCAAACATTTGAAGAACTTGTAAAATTATTTCAATACAATTACTTTCTTACAAATGTATAAAACAAAATTGCAACTAATGACCTAAAATCATTATTAATGTTGAGAAGATTTAATTTCACACCACCCTTTTAAATGAACTGATACTGGAGACAAGTGATTGACAGTTGCTAGATAATGTTTGGTGCACTAGAAGTGTCAATCATCATTAAAGGGCGGTCTTATCAAGACTTAAAAAGACTTTGCGGACCCGCGTACAAGACAAACTGCTAGGTAAATGTAGGCAGAGTCATTTATGCAGACATATGCAGTTGTTGACACACTTGGTGTTACCATGTATATTTATCGATCAGTGGATTAGTGTCTTGTGTATTACTAAACTGTCTGGTATCAACATGATAACATCTTAGTTAGGATAATTAACATGCAAATATAATTGCATAATATTGGAATTGTTCTTGCTGCAAATAAGGTCTAAATTTTTATTTTCACCCTGAAAATTCCCCCCCCCCCCCCCCCCCCCCCCCCCCCCGCCGGCTGATTTCCATGACAATACCGGATATCAAGGACGTCATATGGCATGTATGTGTATTGGCAATATATGTAGAAGCATTAAGATTCCGACCCAGAACAAAAATATCTCAGAATCTGGCTTTGGCACGTCAAAATATTTTTTCACTAAATCCAGAGTAAATGTCAGATCTAGTACATATATTGCCTGATTTAAGCATCGTGCACAAATGGGTATGTCAATGTTATGATTCACATGGGTGTGTTTAATTAATGACCAATCATTGTTTCATTATTTTGAAATATGTGTATCTATAAATTGTTAGTTGCTTTTATAATAATTGATTTGTATTTATATTTGTCTTTTCTTAAAATATAAAAAGTCAGGATATCTGGAAGGCTTCAGTCCTGTATAATCTCCAATCTGCTCCAATCTCCCATCCCAGCAGATTTGTTCCCTGGAAAGTAAGAATTAAAATAGTATTTTTAAAAAAAAAAGGGAATAACAAAATACATTTTTAGCAGCTTCAATGGAAAGTTTGTTTTATTATTGGGAAAAAAACATATTCTTAACTTGTTGTATGCCAAAATTATTTTACCATACAGTTTACTATTGAATTAGTTTCAAATCAAAATTAAGTGATAAAATAAGTTTTAAATTGTTTTATTTTGTTTCAGGTGAATCATTCATGATGTAAAACCAAAAGAATAGAAAATGAAAGTTTTGGTGCTTGTAGTGCTGGGATTGGCAATCTTTGGAAATTTCGTGCATTGCCAAATAAATAGTATTCCAGGCTCTGGTAAAACTAACTGTAAGTAGCAAGGATTTTTTTAAGAAATATTGTTTTTGTATTAAAATGATAATTATTAATGTAAAAGTTTTGCTTACTTCCAAGAATATGATTTAGTGGACATAATTAGGTTCATGATCATTAACCAGGTTTTCCGAAGGAAAAAACTGGTTATTAGATTGAGGTATGTCGGCGGGCGGATGGGCGGGGTGGGTGGGCGGGCGGGCGTAAACAATTTCTTCTGTGCGCAACTCCTTCTACATTTCTCAACGGATTTTGACCAAACTTTTACAGAAGCTTTGTCATCAAGTGCCCTGGCGCATATTGTCGGGGTTTTGCGATTGGATGATATTTGACCTAATTATGGCCCTTTGTTTTTTTTCCTTATATAGAATATATAGTGAACAATTTCTTCTGTGCACAACTCCTACATTTCTCAACAGATTTTGACCAAACTTTCACAGAAGCTTTGTCATCAAGTGCCCTAGGGCATATTGTTGGGGTTTTGTGATTGGATAATAAATGACCTAATTATGGCCCTTTGATTTTTTTCCTTATATAGAATATATAGTGAACAATTTCTTCTGTGCGCAACTCCTCTTACATTTCTCAACAGATTTTGACCAAACTTTTACAGAAGCTTTGTCATCAAGTGCCCTGGCGCATATTGTCAGGGTTTTGTGATTGGATAATATTTGACCTAATTACGGCCCGTTATATTTTTTCCTTATACAGAATTATCAATATTTAGTGAACAAATTCTTCAGTGCTGAACTCGTCCTACATTTCTCAACGGATTTTGTTTAAACTTTCACAGAAGCTTTGTCTTCAAGTGCCCTGGCGCATATTGTCGGGGTTTTGTGATTGGATAATTTTTGACCTAATTATGGCCCTTTGATTTTTTTCCTCATACAGAATATACATGTATAGTGAACACTTCTTCTGTGGCAATTCCTCCTACATTATTCATGTTTTACATTGCACATAGTTACATTGTTTGTTGCTTGTATTTGTATTTCAAATACAACATATTTATCTACTATGGTGATAATTGAAAACCTGGTTTCGTGGCATTGCCATGTTTCTTGTAATTAAGGTAAAATGCTTGCTCATTTTTTTGCAATTAGATGTGAATTGGATTGAGTTGCCCAGGCATGAATTTCATTGACCCTTTATCAATATAAATCTTGTATCATGAAGGCCTCTCCTTGAAAAACAAACATTTTATTTAGGTTTTAATAGCAATTTTAGCTATAAATAATTGTTTAAACATCAATGTATCTTTTTGATTTTACAGTACAGCTTTTTATTATTCAAAGTTTATTAATTAACAATAGGTCTTTTAAATAATTAACTTAATTTTTCAAGAATCTTGTTAACTACATGGTATATTTCTGTGATTTTCAAGTTGAATATGAAATAATATGAGCTGTGTCACGACAAAACCAACGTAATGGGTTTGCGACCAGCATGGATCCAGACCAGCCTGCGCATCCGCGCAGTCTGATCAGGATCCATGCTGTTCGCTATCAGTTTCTCTACTTGTTATAGGGTTTGTAAGCGAAGAGCATGTATCCTGATCAGACTGCGGATGCGCAGGCTGGTCTGGATCCATGCTGGTCGCAAACGCACTTTGTTGGTTTTGTCGTGACGCGGCTCATATAAAATATTGTTTTTCTTCAGTTTATCTGGACCGGTACTCTGACTGTGATGGAAGACCAAGAGAGGTTGGTAAATCAACTGTTTTCATCAGTGGTCAAAGCACAGAGTTACAGGTGAGCTATTTAATTTGAGACACAGAGCATTTCAGTGAGAATTTATAAACATTATATGGCTACTTTTAAGTTTCTCTCTTTTGACACATTACTTGTTTTGAAAGATGCGTCTCAAGGTTTAGATAAAATATATTAATTTTACTTTCAGCTTTTTAATGTATGCTGAATTTTGATTATCTTAAACTTTCTATAGTAAGGCACTGTTTTAAAAATCATGTTAACTTGTGTGACTAATTTAAAATCAACCAAATATATTACAGAAGTATGTTCTTTTTTGGTAATTTAATATTGTTGATAAAACCATGAATGAGATCATAAAAACACTTTTTATTTTCAGGGTAATGTGGGTTCTAAGACCTAATGTGCTAAACACGTGTTGAAATTTAAATTTATAAAAATCCTGTTTTGAGCAGGACTAAATCAAGGGAAATGTCCAATCTTGGCCCATTTCAGTTATCACTTGTATGAAATAAAATTTATATGCATTAGTTATTTAATGTTGAATGTATATTGAGTTGAATGTTTTTTAGGGTCAGCCTGTAACATCATGTAGTGTTACATTAAACACAGAAAATATCAGAGAACCGTACAGATTCAAACTGCAGGTCCTCAGTGTGCGAATAGATGATCCAGGTGTCTACTTCTACATATACGATGGTGAATTCCAAGGAAAATTGCTGGTTAGATTCTAAATTTATTACTTATGCTGTATTAAAATCTCTAAAGTTATATCTAATTGAAAAAAAAAATTAAAAGAGGGTTTGATTTATGGGTAAAATGGGCAAAATAATGGGCAAATAATCATATAATGTAAATGTATAACTGTAACATGGCAAATCTAACCATACAAAAAAGTTATTTGATCAATTTCTGACTTGAATATGTATTACTTTAGTATTTATTTTTGTGCATGAATATTTAAAAGGAAAAGTCAGAAGGAGTGGGGGAACCCAATCTTAAAACATTTTTGACTGACAATTTGTTAATGCAAACAAGATTGATGCTAGAAAATGGCCTGATGATTCAAATGCTATTTTAGAGCCATAGGTATCATTGGCACCATTTGCCTGGAAATAAATGAAATGATTTGCCAATCATAAATTTTGCTGTTTTCTGCATTTTCTGTCTAAATGTCATATCATGTGACAGCAAAAATCTTATATTGATTGGCAAATTGTATAGAAAATAAGAATGTATCAAACTCATCCAAAAAAAAGCTTAGTTTTTGGAACAGACTTGCCTTCTGCATTATATTATACTTTTACAAGTCTTAACAAAATGAAAACTTGGGACTGGGAAACTGTACATACCAGTAATATAAGAAAAAACAAACAAAGACTTTATAAGCAAGCAGCTTCATCTAACATTTTCAAAATTGCCTATACACAGTATCTGTTTATGAAGGTATTGACATTTTTTTTAACTCGCGTTAAGAAGTTTCAAGATTTTGGTTATATTTCTCTTTAATAAAATGCAAGATTTATAAAAGATATTTTTTTTTGTTTATTTCAGAGATCATTCAGTAAACTTGAGGGAAAGCCACCAAGTCTAAATTTCATATTTACGTCTGGACAGTTGGTGACATTTCGGTTAACAAGAGGGGAGCTGGAGAGAAATTTTGATATCAGGATTGTAGTTACCCCTATACCCTGTAAGTATACATGCAAAATTGCTAGAATAGAATGATAAATGAGCTGCGTCACGACAAAACCAACATAATGCGTTTGCGACCAGCATGAATCCAGACCAGCCTGCGCATCCGCGCAGTCTGATCAGGATCCATGCTGTTCGCTTACCAACCCTTTACATGAAGAGAAACTGATAGCGAACAGCATGGATCCTGATCAGACTGCGCAGGCTGGTCTGGATCCATGCTGGTCTCAAACACATTATGTTGGTTTTGTTGTGATGCGGCTCAAATTGATAATAATTGGCATGTCCTGACTAAATTCTATGTTTACACTTGATTTTGATATGTTAAAACTAAGCTTTTTATTCAAACTAAAAGACAAATAGCCAAAAAATGATATTATTTTTACTAAATTCTTTGTACACGCTAAGTGGAATGTTTGCAGAATATGATAGGTTTAGATAAAGTCGAAGATGTGTGCATAAAACAATGAAACATATTCACACAAATGATTTACACCTTAAGATATTTATTGCCAGTACATGTATGTGTATATCAAAGAACATAAACTACACACTATTTAACCAACAAAAGCAAAAATCATGATGATATATACATGCTTGTAGAATGTAAATGTTCACATAACATGTATCAGATATTCACAATGATATTAATGTATGCACAAAGTGAGATATTACATCTTGTGTTTTATAAACATAAGGATAAAGAAAATTTAGTTTTCACATAGTTTAAACTTACACTAAATGCCTTTTTAACCAGGTTTTCAACGAAAACCGGGTTATTGTAATGCCGAAGTCGGCGGCGGGCGGCGGGCGGGCGGGCAGGCGGGCGGGCGGGCAGGCGTCAACTTTTGGTTTCCGCTCAATAACTTGAGTTTGCTTTGACCTATTGACACCAAACTTGGTGTGTAGGTAGCTTATATCAAGAGGCAGCTTGGGATTGCTATCCAGGTGTCTGTGATCAAGGTCAAGGTCACTGTTACTAAAAATAGAAATTCAGTTTCCGCTCAATAACTTGAGTTTGCTTTGGCCTATTGACACCAAACTTGGTGTATGGATAGCTTATATCAAGAGGCAGCTTGGGATTGCTACCCAGGTGTCTGTGATCAAGGTCAAGGTCACTGTTACTAAAAATAGAAATTCAGTTTCCGCTCAATAACATGAGTTTGCTTTGACCTATTGACACCAAACTTGTTGTGTAGGTAGCTTATTTCAAGAGGCAGCTTGGGATTGCTATCCGGGTGTCTGTGATCAAGGTCAAGGTCACTGTTACTAAAAATCGAAATTCAATTTCCGCTCAATAACTTGAGTTTGCTTTGGCCTATTGAAACCAAACTTGGTGTATGGATAGCTTATATCAAGAGGCAGCTTGGGATTGCTACCCAGGTGTCTGTGATCAAGGTCAAGGTCACTGTTACTAAAAATAGAAATTCAGTTTCCGCTCAATAACTTGAGTTTGCTTTGACCTATTGACACCAAACTTGGTGCTTTGACCTATTGACACCAAACTTGGTGTATGGATAGCCTATATCAAGACGCAGCTTGGGATTGCTACCCAGATGTCTGTGATCAAGGTCAAGGTCACTGTTACTAAAAATAGAAATTCAGTTTCCGCTCCATAACTTGAGTTTGCTTTGGCCTATTGACACCAAACTTGATGTATGGATAGCTTATATCAAGAGGCAGCTTAGGATTGCTACCCAGGTGTCTGTGACCAAGGTCAAGGTCACTGTTACTAAAAATAGAAAATTCAGTTTCCGCTCCATAACTTGAGTTTGCTTTGACCTATTGACACCAAACTTGGTGTATGGATACCTTATATCAAGAGGCAGCTTGGGATTGCTACCCAGGTGTCTGTGACCAAGGTCAAGGTCACTGTTACTAAAAATAGAAATTCAGTTTCCGCTCAATAACTTGAGTTTGCTTTGGCCTATTGACACCAAACTTTATGAATGGGTAGCTTATATCAAGAGGCAGCTTGAGATTGCTACCCAGGTGTCTGTGATCAAGGTCAAGGTCACTGTTACTAAAAATAGAAATTCAATTTCCGCTCAATAACTTGAGTTTGCTTTGGCCTATTGACACCAAACTTTATGAATGGGTAGCTTATATCAAGAGGCAGCTTGGGATTGCTACCCAGGTGTCTGTGATCAAGGTTAATGTATTTAGTTTTCATGTTATAACTTGAGTTTGCTTTGACCTTTTGACACCAAAATTGCTGAGTGGCAGCTTTGGATTGCCACTTAGATATCTGGGAGCAAGTTCAAGGTCATTTGCTTACAATAGAATTTTCAGCTTCTACTCAATAACTTCAGTGCACTTTGACCTATTGATTTCTGTCACATCAAAACTTGGTCGTTGAAAACCTGGTTTTCGTCGCATTGCGGCGCTTCTTGTACTGTTTGTTTGACACAGCTTTTACCACTTAAACCATACTTACAGTAAGAAGATTTATTATCCATCAATAAAAATTAAACTGTATCGGGATAATTTTTGTACGACAAAGTCTGATAATAAATATTGTAGATTATAAAAGAAGAAAATATGCTTTATCATGTTAACAAGTATTGAAAATTTAGGTACATAATATAGATTGCTACTCAAGATAGTGACATTCTTTGTTTATGGCGGTACATTATCATAACATTTGAAATATTATATTATATCTTCAGCGGGAACTGTTGAATGTAACTACGAGAGTGAACACAACTGTGATGAGTATGGTTATAACTATCGTATCCTCGGAACTAAAGAGATCGCAGCGATTATAGCCGGATGTTTCGCTGTAGTTATTTTAATCGTCATAGTTGTTGTCTGCTGCTGCTATAGGAAACAGCGTGGAATCAGTCAGAAATGGAAGGAGGAAAAATTAGGTCACGTAAATACTGCAGCTAGTGTTCATAGTTTAAATGGAAAAGTTCCACATAATAATAGTTCAAAGCCATGGACATCGGAAAGTTCAAAACATGGGTTTGCAAGCATTCGTAGGTCACCAAATCTTCCGAGAGCAAAGATTGCAAGATCTCAACGGACAATGGGCAGTGATCACTCGATGTTCGATAGTAAGTCTTTGTTGTTGAAATGTTCATTTTGTGATTTGATTGTCACTAGAAATTTTTTTTTACAATTAGAATTCTCTTTAGATCATTTGCCATATTTATCAAGGATCAAATATACTCGAGACAGATGTATACAAAGTCTGGTTTTTATGTTTTCATTAGTATACACAATTATATGCTCATGTCACAGGTGTTTGCTCATGGCCATGACTTAAACTATACCCCCGTCCCAGCTCTACAACCCAAACCCTTGAACATCATCAAAACATCATAAATATTTACTACAATCAATTATTTGGAGAAAGAAAAATTATGACTCTAAAAAATTAAGTCATAATTTTTTTTCTTCTTCATATAATTGATTTTTGGTTGTAGAGGGGGAACAGGGGTATAGTGTAAGTCATGGCCACGCGCTGAACATCTGTGGTTCAGGTGACTCTATTATAAACATTCAACATTAGAGTTTACTTGTAAAGTCTTACTGTTTATATCAGTTTACATCAATTGTGAAGGGTGGAGTTAATAGGGGAGGGGTGAATCATAAATATTTTGATTCTTGATGAATGTTGGCTCTTTAGATATCTAGATAAAGTTGAAATATTTGTTAGCTGTGCATGGCTGCATGCTTTGCTTTTTTAATGCATGAATTTTTTGTGCTAACTTGCACTTAATTAATGGTTAAATTATTTTTTTTTTCAAAAAGTAACAGAAGTAATGTATAGTAATTTATACTGTAGAAAAGTCACAAGATGATCTTTTCAATAATGAAGGTTTATTATCAGAACAGTAAAGATCAAGCTAAAATGCAAATTTTCTCTTGGAATAAGATTTACATTCAACAGAGATAGTTCTCTAAGATTGTTCATATTATTTTAAATATACTTTCTGTAAAAAGTTTTTTTTTTTATTGAATTTATAAAGTTTTATAGTTCAGAATGCACTTTGCCCCTTCACTGCCAGGTGCACATATATCCTATATGTTCACTGCTTTACTAGTTGTTTTTTTAGCTTTACTTGTCACTGCAAAGTGTACCCACCCCTAAACCTAAGGTAGCATTTTCTTTTCAGAAATAAAGACTAGCTACCTTAAAGTTTTCAAGGTGCATTGTTATTGTTTTGTAGACAGTAACTGTATTATTAGTAAGACTGACAAAAAGAAACATGCATCTTTGAGTTGTTACAAAATTACATGGTATGGTGTACATATAAACCTATATTTGAGAAGAATCTCTGTGGCAGAGTTTATGTGAGTGACTTTAATTTACTGTAGGGAACCTCACCAGACGGATAGAATCATTTTATTTAGCTGTCTGAGTAACTTTCATGAGATGTGCGTAAAAAAGTATTTTAAATGACACACAAAGATGGGATCGGAATCTTTCAACATAGATGTTTTTGTCTGTGTCTCAAATAATGTGCAATGTTACGTCTGATGTCTGTAGCCAGAGACACATTTGGTTTGAGCCTCAAATAATGTACTTAGTTGCTTCTGTTGTATTTCGCCAAAACTTATCACTGCTAGCATTCAAATGAGGGTCATGATATAATTATATGATTTTAGAATTTAAAACATCATAATATGCCATCTTTAACATATCCAAATCATAAATTATATAATTTGAAAAAATGTTTTTAACCCATATCTACTGTAAGTATTGTTTGAAGACAGAAAAAGACATTTTCTTGATAAATATATATGTTTGCGCCTCATATAATGCACAAAATTGCTTCTGTTGTCTTAACCAAAAATGATCACATCTGGCATGCAAAATTTCAAGGGTCATAATGTAGGTGATTTTAAAATTTAAAACATCAGAAAATGTCACTTTTATCATATCCAAACCATAATTTTAAATGAATTTTATAATTTGAAAAAAATGTTTTTAACCCATATCTTCTGTATGTACTATTTGAAGACAGAAAAAGACAAGACATTTTCTTGATAAATATATATTTTTGACATGAAACATTTTTTTCCCTTTTTATAGGTAATGCAAGCTTGCCTGTTAAAAGACCTCTTCCACCACCTCATGTAAATTTGAACCCTCGTGGAACATCAGAACGTAGTGGGAGAAGGTACAGAGAGAAGTATGATAGATATGAGGAAGATGATAGATCGTCTGACCGATCATTTACTGACAGGTCGGCTAGTACAGCCACTAAAAACTTCAGTGAGAGGAACTATGTTCCGCCTACATACCGTGAAGCCATGAGACATAATTCAGAGTCATCTGCTGATGAAACTACTTTTGTTGGAGCAGATGATTCACAACAACAGTCTGTTTTTGTTGAGCGTGTTTTAAGACCAAGTGCTCATGCTAATAAAAAGACCTCGCCTAAAGTAATGAGAGCTCAGCGTGCTGTTCCTCCCCCTGATGAAGATGAGGAATATGATACCATAGAGCCTAAGAAAAAATCAAAAGCTCTGTTGGTTGACCAAGGGGCGGGATCTGAAGAGGAAACAGATGAGTCTGACACTGACAATGAATCGGAGGAGGAGTCATCAGAAGAGGAAACAGAATCGGAGGCGGAGTCAGAAGCAAACGCAAAATCTGACAAAACAGATGCTGTTTATTCTCAACCTAATAAATTGAAAAATAAACAAGAGAATGCACCTCCTGCACCGCAGCCTGTAGGCTTCAGGCCACCAGCTACATCCCAGCCTCAGCAGTTTCAAGGTCAACCTTACCCAGGGTTTGCACCCCCAGGTATACATCAACCTCAGCCTCAATATGGTTATCCTGGTCAACAGCAACATTATCCACAGGGTCAAGCACCATATCCTCAGGGCCAGCCTCAGTACCCACAAGGTCAACCCCAATACCCACAAGGTCAACCCCAATACCCACAAGGTCAACCCCAATACCCTCAAGGTCGGTTGCCACCTGTCAATCATTCAAACCCATCCCAGCCCAATGCCTACCATCAAGCTAATTTTACTGTTCCTCTTCAACAGCCAGGATCTCAACCGGCGGCTCAAAGCCATCCTCAATCCCATACAAACAGAGAACGTGGTAACCCAAGCCATAAATCAAACAGAGAACCTAAAGGTCAATTGAATCCTAACGACCCCCCAGTATATTCATACCTTGTAAATAGAGGATATAGACCAGTAGATGGTAGGTACTCGCCTGTCAGCACGTCAACAGGGGCAAGTAATCTTTCTGGAGACAGAAATCTGTTAAACGAGGACTCAGATTTTTCAGCAAATCTTGGCAGTGGTGTAGAACTCATGAAGCGCAAAAATTAAGAGGAATTTTTTGTGTACCCCAAAAATATTGTAATATATTCCCTTTTTCATTTGTTTTGTTATCAATTGATGATTTATAACACTAAACTTGAAAAGTTAAATTAAACAAAGATTGTTTGGCTTTTTTTCCTGTTTGATATAGGAAACTTGTTTCTCGGTACTATTGTTTTTGGACACATTTTCATGTAATCAATAAATGAAACATCAATATGTTTTGTTAAAACCTTAGCCTGTATTATTGATGAAATAGTTCTCATCAAAGGACATACATGTATATCTGAATTTAAAATTTGTTGAAAAAGAACAAACTTATGCCTCTACATGCTTCCTAAGATTTTAAACATATTTTTGTTTGTAACTACATATACGTGTACATGTTTTTGTAATATAGTTTTACCACTTCATTTTATTTAGAAATGTAGCATAAATATAATAAATATGAACCAAAGGAAAATTGTTTGTATAAATTTTCATTAAAAGATTTCTGAAAATGAGGAACATAATAATACAAGTGAGGGTGCCATAAAAAGTATGTGTATCTAAAATATATTTTTGTTTCATTGCAGGCCATTGGCTCACCACAAAGTTTATAAAACAATAAATTAGTAAATGATTTAACATGAAGAATCTTATTATTCTAAAAAGTTTGAGAAATTCACTTTAATCTACAAAGATAACTTGTATGGTAAAATAGATATAATAGCCGTAATAAGTTTATTGAGAAAATAGGGATTCATTTATTGTCTGTAAAATTATAAAGTCTGCTTCTTAGAGAGACTGAATAATGTCTGTGCTTTTTGATGCTCAGTTAACTTTTTTGTTATCATTTAAAAATAGATATAAAATCTGCTCATCTGGCATCATAAAATTTTAAGTCTTCAGTTTGAATTCTTTATTATAGTGTACCTGTAACAGATTGAATAAGTAGCAAATTTTGAGTTATGTTTTTGGCACTTCTTTTTTTCTTTATATATACACTAACTGTCTTCATTACTATTTGCATTTAATGGTAATTGATTTTTAACATCTTTTATTACTGTATGTTTCATTAAGAATGTTATATTACTGTATTTGTGTTTTTATAGTAAACAGAACTTGTGTTATGTTTGTTGTATAAATAGTGCTGATTTAGCCTCTTCTAATTATTAATTATAAATTTAAGTTTTAAATAGCATTGTAGACTTATGGTTCATTACATGGAAACTCTTGGAATACATGTGAATTTTAAGCTTACAATCTCTTTGACCTGAACAATTCAATTTGTCATTGAACCAGTTTTTAATTATGTTTGAACCAGTTTTTAATTATGTGATTCATGCCGCCTAATAGAGAAGTTTAAATGAACAATTATTTTTGCAATCAAGGTTAGTGATTATCAAAAGAGTTTCAGGCGTTCAAAAACACAAAAACAATCTGCACTGTTTTGCTTCAATGAAACAAAAATTTATAAGTATGACCAATTATTACAAGAAATCAAGTGCAGTAATTCTGTGTAGTCTTTATTATAGATAGTTGATAACCATTTTATGTGCCATTTATTGACTAGGCCTCTTGGAACTTGCATAATTTAAAAAAAATATGTTCTGTCTATGTGTATGTTGCTTGCCATTCAAAATACTGTTAATGATTTCACTTTCTTAAACCTTCACACCACTGAATATTCGTTTTTGCTCTGTCTACTGATTTAAAGTTTAAGAATTTTATTGTCAAAATTTCAAAAAGTTAAAAATACAATATTGTATATTGGTCAGATACATGGGTTTACTGTGGTGTTGATTATCTTCAGATAGCACAGGCTTGTGATAGGGCTTTCAATAAGATTGTTGGCTTGGAACTGTCTAATATGCCACTGACTTTAAGTGCAACAGTATATAAATAACAAATTGGTTTGTGAGTAACAGTAACAGTAACAATACCTAGAAAAATACTGATAGCCAAGACATAAGCCAAGAGTAAAAGTATTTTTATGAGGGGTAATATTTTAGCTGTTACTCAAAATCCATTGTTATTTATTTTATTACCCCTGCTTCATTGGGACACTATTTCTTTAGGTTTTTATTTTTCAGCTTTTTACTGTGAATTTTTTTTAGTCACATGGTACACTTGAATTAACAGTAAGAATAACTCCCATTGGCCTATGGGAAATTAACATTACAAAAATAGTGAGGGGTAATAAAAGTAACTATTGAAAGATCTGCTTTCATTATCTTTATATAAATTATGATTTTTAATACATATAATTTTAACTTTTTAACAAGTTCTCACTTTCAATAATTTTAAAAGTAACTTGATTAAAATGATAACTAGATCAAATAATATGCTGTAAAAAATAATACAAATGTTATGTTAACTGTTGGAATGTTTTAAATTACAATGTGCAATGTAATTGTGGGAAAATCTTGATTTTACAGTTTTCATAATTTTCATTTGTTTATTGAAGCATGACATCATTTACACCGGTCCATTACACCGGTATACTTTTAAATGGTTGTATATTTTGTACATATCAATGATTTATTAACATTCCTATACATTCTCATATCAATTTTTTTTAAAGAAAATATATTTATGTTTACATAATATACATGCCATCTTTGTTGAAGACTGTATTTTATCAGTTTTTTTTTACATATCTATAAATAAAATATTGATTTCTAATAAAACTAGAAGTAGACATTCTCTGTCTTGTGTTTTATATGTAATATTCCTTATGTTATAAGTGTTTTACAGAGTTATTAATCCTTTGGTGAATTGTGGTTGAATCTTCTACTTTATACTTAGAAATGAAATATTGAGATATATTTATAAAGTAAAGTGCTTATTTTTATTTCTGTATTTTACACTGTATAAATTTATTTTTCACTGCCATGAAACATATTTTCCGTATTTTCACTGGTGTCTTGACAGACGACTTTCTTCTTAATTTAGCCAAAATGCAAAATATCAGGGGAAGTCTTTCAAACTGAAATGTCAGAAAAAAGAAAAATGTTTCAAATATCAGATTCTCTACTAGCTATAGTGTTTGTAAGCGAACAGCATGGATCCTGATCAGACTGCTCAGATGTGCAGGCTGGTCTGGATCCATGCTGGTCGCAAACCCATTATGTTGGTTTTGTCGTGACGCAGCTCATTATTGCATATTCTTCCTTATTTATACCCAGTCTGAGGAATCTGACTGTTCTTGTACTTAAACTACAACTCAAAGTACAGCAACTTTTCTGAAATGGTCATGGGGATACAAAATTATGCAGCAAACAGTATAGAACTAAGTCAAACTTGATGGATGTCTAGTCTAATGGAAAAGATTATTCAGTATCTTAATGCTAACTTTTGCCTATAGTATCCTTGAAAATTTTTGTTTGAGAATATTAATATTAACGGAGCAAAACAAACATAAACATTCTGTATATAAGAAAAAAGGCATGGCCCCAATGGCAGGTCAATTTTGACACAAGGGCTATAATTTGAACAACTTTTGTAGGGTCCAGTAGATAATGTTTCATGCTAAATATCCAAGATGTAGCCCTTGCAGGTTTCAAGAAGATTTTTGAAGTATTTACTATATAAGGAAAAGCCAAGACCCTCTGGCAGGGCCAGGGCTTTGATTTGAACAATTTTTGTAGAATTACATAAGATGGTGATAAAAACAAAATATATTAGTTCTAGGCCTTGCTTTTTGAGAGAAGATTTTTAAAGATTTCAGTTTTAACAAGAACTGTCGGAGAACAGCGACACTCCACTATTCGAAAAGAGTTGTCACAAGGGTGTTTTATTGAGTATCATAAATGCTTACCTATATGAATACATAAAAAATTGACCGAAAAAGGTACAAACTTAGGCTTGTTATTAAGATGTCTTATCGAGTAAATCACTGCTTGATTATTATGAATGCATAAAATTGTCACAAAAAAAGGCACAAACCCTTCAATAGTTATGGAGATACCAGTTTACACGCAAAAACTTAACAAAGAATTTCTAAATCGAAAAAGAGGCATAAGTATGCAAAAAAAAAATCAGTTATGGGACATGTGCCAATCATGTTAGATAATCAATACCAACTTACACGCAAAAACTTAACCAAGAATTTCTAAGTCGAAAAGGGGGCATAATTATGCAAAAAAGCTAATCTGAGTTATGGGACTTGTGCCAATCATTTTAGATAATCACAGAGAACAAATGTGTGAAGTTTCAATCTATTCCCTTCAGTAGTCATGGAGATACCAGCTTACACGCAAAAACTTAACCAAGAATTTCTAAGTTGAAAAAGGGGCATAATTATGCAAAAAAGCAAATCAGAGTTATGGGGCTTATGCCAATCATGTTAGATAATCACAGAGAACAAGTGTGCGAAGTCAAACTATTTCCTTCAGTAGTTATGCAGATGCCAGCTTACACGCAAAAACTTTACAACAGGGACACCGTGCCAAGAAATGGGTGACTGCATTAGCTCGATTATTATACGAATAGTTGACCTAAAAACTCACCAAGATGTTCAATGAAGCAGAACTATTTAAATAATTGTAGTAGATCTTCGTGCTAGAAACATCCAAGGTAAATTTTTATCAAATATGACCCAGTGCTTTCAGAGTAGTTGTTTGAAAAAGTTGATGACAGACGCACTGACCGTCGATGGATAAATTGAAAATTGTAATCACAAAAGCTCACCATGAGCATTTTATGCTCAGGTGTCCGCTACAAAGAGTACAGGAAAGCAATCTTTAAGGATTCATTTTTATTTGAATTTTGTACTGGCAGTGATACTGAAATGAAAACTTCAAACTTTTAATGCAATTGGAAAAGGGAATACTTAGTTGACAGTTTCTTGACTTGCATTAAAGAACTGAACAATTGTTGAGAACTGGGCTTATTATTGTGCATACCAAAATGTCAGCAAAAACAAGAATAAAGAAGACTTTTAATAATTCTATTTCTTCAACATAATAATTTAAGACAAATATGTACATAAGACAGCAACAAATTATAACAGTACAAACAGGTCATGTATGTTCCAATACATAGGTAAAAATTAAAATATCAATATATCTTAGTTTTTAATTCATCTAAAATTCAAGATTACAAACATCACTGCATAATTATACAAGAGATAACATGGTGTAATTAAGGTGTGGTAACTGCATTTAAAAATATTGTGTCAATTTACATTGAAGTTTTCAAAATAATACCATTGATCAAACAAAAGCACTTCAACCACACAGCTATATACGTCCGAATTTGAATTTGTTTAAAAAATAAATTTTTCAATTTGAGAAGAGACTCCTTCATTAAACTTGTCTTTAACATGTTTAACATTTATTTTCATTATGACAATCGAACTTTTCGGCCCTTTCCGTCAGTTTTCGGATAAGGGCCTCAAACACAATAGTATGAATACACAGAATGAATACGGTATTTCGGTCTAACCTAAGCTAAGAAACTTAACATCTAAACAAATAGTAATTTATTGCTGGGAGTTGTTGACAAGTTTATTTCCAATATATCAAGTCAAAGTCCACCTAAAATAAGTGAATTCATACATACAAAAGCAAACCATATATTATTTATATATTCATTATTATGGTTGTAGGAACCAGAAGTACAAAATGCAAAACTGTTGACATTCAGTCGCATTTGTTTAAAGTTGTACATCACTGGGCATTTTTTAATTAAAAAATGTTGTAAGACATATTTTCAATCATAATTGTACCGAAACATACCTTCTTTCATTTGGATGTCAAATATATACATTTGATTTACATTGCAAACTCTGTTTCTGTTTACATATAAAACCATGTGGTAGAAGTAGTTCTAACTTTCAATTCGTATTGTTTCCAAGGTTATTATAGATAATAGCCGGAACGTTCCTATTGATCATTATGATAATAAGTGAAACACAGGGCAGGGGCCTTATTAACCTTAAATGTATGATTATTTCATGATCACCAATCTATAAGAAACAGTCAAAGTAACTAAGCTCTTACCACAAAACAACTATTAGAGATACAAATGTTTGTGTAAGAAAGAGGTAAATTTTTACAATAATGTTTGTTTTTTGTATAAATAATATTATAACAGTACTTCTTAGCACAAATATTAAAACTTAGTATATCTTGCGTATACAGAAGATGTTTATTTTACATTTAAAAAGAGACTGTATAGCATTAATCAGTTTTTTCAGATAACAAATTTGAGCATAATAATAATACCTTTAATGATATCAATCTTAACAGAAAGAATTCAAAACTGTAAAGTTTGAAGGTAGTTAAACATACTATTTCAAATAATAGGCCCTTTCATACATATAAACTTATGTAAGAAGTTTGAGTGTGACCTTGACTTTGATCCAAGCAATCCTGCAGATTGTCTTAGTGCTATTAATATTTCGGCCAAATAATTTTGTTTTCCTTCTCCATAGGTTCCAAAAGAGTAGACAGGAAATTTGAAATTCATACATTACTACATTTGTATTTAGTGTGAACTTGACTCGAGTGCCAAAACCTGTGCTCTGCACATTATCTCATTATGGATAATATTTCTGCTAAGTACATGTAGTTTAAATTTCCTTCAAATGGTTAAAACTAAACAGTGGAAACCAAATTGTAAAGGAATAGATAAAAGACTACCAGTTGCATATGCTGGATTTGTTTTTTTTTTATATAATTAAAAACATATAAAACAACTTAAAATTTAAATCATTGAATTGATTGAGAGAAAAATTCTATTATCACATACTATTAGTCATATTATACATGTATAAACATAAACAAAATTACTCAATTCAAGTAAATCATGGATTTTGGTTTTTAACCACACATAGAAAATGTGTACATCACTTTCTAAAGCATCTTAATTATTGTATAAATTTGTACACCTTAAAAAAACTGATTTGAACAAAATCTGTCACAAGTCAGATAGGATTTTATTCTTACAATAATTATTTCAACTCATTTTTAGATCAATATGAAGGACAAATATATACAACAAACAATTAAATAAGCTGTATGAACCTGAAAAAATGAGATTCAATAATCAGCCTAGCTCTAAATGACTGTTCAACAGTATGATTGTCAATGTAGATGATGAAAATGACAATTTCAAAATCACGTAGAAATAATTTAATACTTTCAAATTTCTGGTTTAGAACAAAGCCATGAATGCACCAAGACCTCCGTATTCTTGCTGATTTGCCGTGGCAGCTGATGTTTGTATAATTGTATAAGTCTGACCATTTTGATCTGTAGCTTCCGTACCAGACGACACTATAGCACCATTTACAACTGGATCAATATGATCTGTATTTGACACAAGGTTGAGGCATGGAACGTTTGATGATATAACAGTCACAGATTGATTCTGCAGTCCCGCCTCACTGTTAACTATTGGACTTGTCGCTTGCCCCACTATATTAGAAGACCCCAATGCTTTTGCTGCACTGATGGAGGCGTTGATTTGATCGAGTGTTAGTATCTGTTGGATAGGTTCTCCGGTCCCTAACTGTTCTCTCAGTACGCAATATTCACCGTCTGTATTCAACAGAGGTCCGGCATCCCCATCTTGTACAGATGAATCCTGGGAATCTTGAGCTAAAGAATAACTCCCATGATCCCATTTCACCATCAGAGGTGTATTTACTTCCATTTCTTCATCTTGTTTTATAATACTGTTTTCCTCTATTGCCTCAGACTTCTTTATTTTACTTGTTGTTATCATTTTAGCTTTCTTAGGTGTCCGAACAATAGCTGCTCCACTATGGTGACGTTTCATGTGGTCTTTTAGTTTATCTTTCCTTGTTGTTGTGTATTCACATTTCTCGCACTGTAGTCTATTATCAGTGTGAAGTTTCTCATGGCGCTTCAAGTGACTTCGTTCTATAAATGTTTTACCACATACCTCACAAACATGGGCTCGTATACCAAGGTGAGCTCTCATATGTGCTTTCAGTTGACTTCTTTTCGGAGTAGAGTAGCTACAATTTGGGAACTGACACTTGAACACTTCACCTGAAAATTTTTCATATAATAATGATTATAAGAACATTAATTCAACAAGAGCTTCGCTGAAATGGGGCAATATAAACCTGATGACAAATTTTAAAGAAGGTATCACAGAAAATTTAATATGCCTTTAAGAATAAGATAGATGTTTTAATTGTCATAAAATAATATATAGAGGATATTCAAGTTTTTTCTATAAATACATGATTTATTTTCATCGAGTGGTATGAAAATAAATATTTCATGAGTGGCGATAGCCACGAGTGAAATATGGTAATTTTCATGCCACAAGATGAAAATAAATCATGTATTTATAGAAAAAACTTGAATTTTCTGTTTATTATATACATTTTTCTCTTTCTGGACATTAAAATTTGCAAGACTTTCCCTTAAATTTTGAGTACTGGCAGAATTTAAAAGAAAGTAGTCCGGCAAGACACCAGTGAAAATACGGAAAATATGTTTCACTGCAGTGAAAAATAAATTTTTACAGTGAAAATACGGAAAATGAAAATACGCATTTTATTTCATCAATATTTCTCAATATTTCATTTCAAAGTATATAATAAATGATGAATTTTCCGTACAATGTGAAGAAAAAAATATACATATTAGCAATAGAAGACAATAATTTGAACTTATTTGATTTAATTTTGACTTAACAAAAACACTACTGTCCAAAAATCAATTATTCAAATTAGCCTCATCAAATTCAAATTTGCTTTTGCAATATGAATGATCCATACATATAATCTTCCATAGGCATAATGCTATATTCCTTAGTGCAAAAAATATATTTTCACAACTAATTCATTATGACATTACATACATGTATTAACACAATCATTAAAATCCTTCAAAATTTTCTTGCAAAAACCAATAATTACAATGAAAATTTGCTTAAAAACATAGGGGAATAAACACAATTATTGACATCCTTCAAAAGTCAGAGGGACCAAGCCATACTATGTCATAAAGAATCTTTGGGCGTATAAAAACATTTCAAATCTAAATAGCCCAATAAGGCAATAGAAGTCGATCCTTATGCCTGCGCTTAAACAATCCTTGGCAATTTCAAATAGAACTTTTCTTTCCTGCATTTCAAATAATTGCCCAAGCATATTCCCATGAATGCACTATGATGCGCAAGCAAACAAAAATTAACTTAACTGAAATCTTTTGGTTATAACTTATGTTATAGGGTTTCATTCATTTTAATAACATAATTCTGACTCAGTTTTAACGAGTGTTAATGGTACTTGAGCATACAATGTCCAAAACAAGCATTATCTGAAAGACAAAGTTCATGAAAAAATATATATTAGAACTACCTGTATGTATCCTTTTATGAGCTATCAGATGTGATTGAAACTTGGTAGAAAATCCACATAAGTCACACAGATAGGGTCTCATATCACTGTGTTTGACACTGTGCTGACTTAAAGTATTCCTTGTTGCAAATGATACACCACATTCTGGACATGTGTAATCTTTCTTTCCTGTAACAAAACAATTTCATATTACTAAAATATATCAATAATTCAAAACTTATTTGTGTAGGAACCTATAACTTTATAGACACACTCTCAAACTCATTCCTGGCACCAATCACTACTGAGCAATGAGTGAAAAGTTTATTGCCTAAGAAAACAACAGCTTGCCCCTAGGGTTTGAACCAAATATGTGCTTGATGGACAAAGTAAAATTATATCTAAAGTCTAACTTCAAACCTTATACCTTACAATAGTTTAAGTTCATCAAACAAGTTTTATATAAAACTGATATCTTTCATTCCTGTATTTTTTTACTGGAATCAAACTTAAATACCTCAACAAAAATTACAAATACGAAAAATCCTATGTGACTTGGTCCTTGTCCTTCTTAAAAAAAAAAACCATTTCAGTTGATACATTATTTAAAAGCAATTACCTAAATGAACCTTTTTATGGGCAATAAGTGTGTTGTTTGTCCTAAATCTCATTCCACAGTGACAGGTGAATGGCCTCTCGTCTGAATGAATTGCTCGGTGTGTTAACATTGGCTGAATCTTGTCCGAACTGTAGGTACATCGAGGATAATCACAGGTGAAAGGCGGTCCAATAAAATGATCCTTCATGTGCTTGTTATATTTCCTTACTTCTTTAGTTTCAAACTGGCAGAGATTACACCTTAGATCAAATGATGCCTCATGGGCTGTTTTTATATGCTTCTCCATTCTTGTTGTGAATTTTGTCATGTAAGCACAGTTGTTATACTTGCATACAATGATTTTAACATTAGGATCTGATTCTCTTCTTTTTCTTCCCTTCCGTATACTCCTCCCAGATTGTCTCCCCTTCACTATACTCCTTTCTACTTTATTATTACCTTCAGCATCTTCATCACCACTTAGACTTTCCTCTGATTCCTCAGTACTTAAATCTTCATAATTCTCTTTTTCCTTACTTTCATCTTCCACTTCTTCTGGCTCTACCTTGTTTATAACTGTTTCTGCACTAATAACTGCTACATAAACCTCTTTATCAGCTGTTTTAACAGCTACATTCTGTAAGTCATTCTCATCATTAAAGTCCTTATAGGCTTCAGAAGCTTTCTTTCTACTCAGCTGACGATTTGAGCGTCTGGCTGTTTTCTTTTCAAGTTTCTTTGCAGGAGCCTTTTCTTCTTTCAGATCTATAAGTGTTTCAGATGCTTCTTCCTGGTGCTCTTTCAAAATCATTCTTTCTTTTTCTTTTTGGTTCATTTCATGAATCTCTGCTTCAATAAAATCGCCTAATGTTTCAAACTGCTCATACTTGCTAGTTTCGTTAACAAAAGTTTGTTCTTCAATAAGCGTGGACTGTTCTACAGCTGGTACAATTTCTTTTTCAGATTCTTGAAAATGAAGACTATTTACATCTGTATTGATTGCAGTTTCTTTCAAATTGCAAGGAAGTTGCGAATTGTCAGTATTTACTGTAGAGTCTTTCATGAATGGCCTAAATTTTACTGATATTGTTACTGGGTTGAACTGTTCAGTCTCAATTTTTAACAGATTTGTATGAACAACTTCCTTCAAAATGGCTGAATGGTTTTGTCTCAGCTGTGGAAAAACTTCCTTATATGGACCAAGTGGGATTCCAGCACTAAACAAAGTTTGTAGAAGTAAGTAAAGACTAGATTCATGAGTAGTGAAGAAATTCTCTGTTCTATTAATCTCCAGGAGAAAGTCATTTGCAACAGTTGACCAATCGATGTGGCCAAGAAGAACAACAAGGTATTTCTCACGTTCCTGTACATCATACCCTACCCAACTTATAATCAGAAACAGCTTTATCTCAGGCTTGATTTTTTTCATCCAACCTTCTGATAAAAAAGTGTTGAACTTTTCTGCTTTCAAAGACAGAAACTCTCCTTGTTTCACTGCATCGGACAGGTTCAGCTGTAAGAAGCCAACAATGTATTCTTCTAAAGTCTCCAGTTTAAACTTTCTGCTTAGAAAGTATGTACTGACAAAATTTCCTAAGTGAAGGTTACATCTCAAGAACTCTTCGCAGTAATTTTTCAAAGTTTCAATTTGAAAACTTACTGCCAAGTGTAGAAGTTGCAGAAAATTTGTTTCTCTTGGAGCAACATAACCATTGTACATGAAGTCAAGCAGATCTGAGAAAACCTCACTATTGTCATAGAAAACAACAATGTGATCTTTATAAACTTTTGGATCATCACTGTACAATTTTGATCCCAAAACTGGACTCCATGAGGCAAGTACATTTTTGTGTGCGACAAACTGGACTCCTCTAACTTCAAGAATGACATCACAATACTTCTTGTTATCTCTCAAATATTTGAGTTTCTCAAGAATGTTAAAGTCTGTTTTCTTTTCAAGAATACTGGTTGAGTTAGCTGCTGGGTTGGCTGGACGATCATCATTAGGCAGCATGGATACAGCTGCAGATGACTCATCAACAAGTGGATATTGACTCATTCTCAAAGCATCAAAATTTGACCCATTTCTTTGTCTGAAAAGTGGATAAAAATCAAATCATCATTATCAAATTCAAAATAACAAACCTTTGATTAATGATTAATTTTAAAACAATGACTGATTTCCTTCATGCCATTCCTGCGAGATAATTCTCAGTCAAAATAATTTGAAATAGTTGATGATGCCCCAGTCAATTATAACTTTGACTTTTGGTGTGGGGACAAGACAACTTGATAAATTGGTCAATTATTGTGTCTAGCCTTTCAGTTTTTCAGGCAACATTACAATGACAGAACAAATATAGGACGCAGAAGAATTATCATGTCGGCAGGTAAAATTCTTTTGAGTCATCGTCTATTAAAATATACTTAAAATAAGTTATTTTGCGAAAAATATATCATGTCTTTCTGTCAGCACCCTCAAAAGATGACGGCAAAGACACAATAAGTGAGCATATTATCCAGTCTTTGTCTTTTGAGGAGACAAGACACAAAAATGGCAAACAAATGTAAATAAAGTATCATCTGATACCAAGAAATCAGTTTACACTATTTCATCATACTCGTGAATATCTGCCTTGAAAATTAGGAAGATGAGAAAATTCTATTAAACTAGTTAAATCAGATCTGTTTTAATAACTTGTTGACTGAATTTGAATATCTTACTTAATAGCCCTAATTTCATAATTGCAGTAACTTGAGTAAGAATCGTATTGGTAACGACTTTAACAGTTTAATTACAGCAATCAAACTCATAGAATCATCAATATTCAACCATATGTCAATGAATGAATGAACCCAGTCAGTGACCATTGTAAACATAAACAAAATAATGACCCAGTTTTAATCTACTTTCGGTTTATTAAGGAAAAAAGAAACCAAGGGGACACACTCACGGGAGACAATCAACACAATTTTTCAACTTATAAAGGTGATATTTTCAATACCTTAGCGGCACCATTTCCTATGAACAATATATTGTTATGTTTATTCTTTAAAGACCTATGTAAAGGCTAAATATTCATTCTATAAAATTTAAAAATCGTTCAAGATAATCAAAAAAGTCCTACGTTGAAATGTTCCCCCAAATTTGGTATTTCGGAAGTTTGTACTGCGCATGAACGAATTAACTATGGACTGGAACTCAATTGAAAATTATTAGCATACCAGTCTTATATATAGGAAGTAGTTGTAACTACTGACAACACATACACTTCCTGGAGCTAAAGTTCACCGATTTTGATGGATTTAAAATGGTAAATTAACATACATGATGTTCTATATCATTATTAATGAATATAAATGCTCTTTCACATGTAAAAATTCACAATTCAAATAAAAGGTTTGTAATTAACAATGTCATTGAAAATAAGACTATTGTCACATATTTCCGCGAGGATGTGACGAATATCATTTGATAGTTTTTATTATAAATGAAATTAAAAGTTCAGCGGAAAATACTTTCATGTGCATGATATGAGATTAATTCGCTAATCAAAATGATAGATGATTCATTTTGGTATAAATTTTTAAGAATGTGATAAAAGAAAAAGGTTTATAATTAAAACTTTTAGGATTAGGGGTGAAAATGACTTGTCTGAAAGATTTTGATCTTATAAATCGATTGGTAACCAATAAAATAAAGTTTTCATTTGTTTTTATGAGAAATTCGAGTGCTTTCCGTTTTTTCGGTGCTATTTGGTGCTTTCGGGTTTTTCTATGCACCGCAGAATTAGCTTGAGTATAGCTTCACGGTCTGGTCCCCCTACACAGGAACTCTCATTGACCAGATAGAGTCCGTCCAGAGAAGGGCTGCTAGGTGGGTCAAACATGACTTTGGCCGTATGTCGAGTGTCACTGACATGTTGACTTCCCTTCAATGGAGGCGCCTTGACCTTCGGCGTATTGACCAACGGCTGGTCATGTTTCACAACATCTTGCATGACCAGGTGGCTATCCCATTCCCAAAATATATCGTCCCTCTTACAAGATCATCAAGAACATCCCATCCCCATGCATTCCAACAAGTCCAAACTAAAACTGATTACTATAAATATTCATTGTTCCCAAGAACAATAGTCCACTGGAATGCTTTACCACCTGATATCATGAACTTGTCTGGCCCCGAGTTCAGTCTGGCTGTAATCCGGATTGAACATAAGTCTCCCTAAAATACCTTCTCTATTTTTAACCTGTTTTTAACAATATACTCATTTCCATTACTTTTATATTCTTTTATTTCAGTTCTTTTACTAACATTCTTGTCAGTTGACGCACATCAAGTCTAGGTCCCCAGCAGGGGTTTGACTATATGGAAGATAGATAAATTAGGGTTCTCTCCGTGTTAATTTTAGTATGCGCCAGAAAATTCGCCAATCAGAAAAAGTTGGTGACAATGGCTCCTAAGTTGGAGCCAGTAATTCTGAAACGGAGACATGCCTATCTTTGTAAAGATAAGCTAGAAGTTATATCATTATTTCATTATGATTACATAGAGGATATTTGTTTAGTTCTGAGTGTAAGATCCGATCGGAATATATTTCACCGAGTAAATACATTTAGATATGAAAATATTAACACTGTTAACACAGTAAATAGTGGCTTCAAATCAATCATTAGTGAAATTATTATCTTAATTGTCACCCAATTTAATATTTCAATCTGTAATTATTTTTAGTCTCTTGAGTCGAGTCAACTTACCTAAAGTTTAATTTTTGTCAACATCTCAAATTTGCTACTTACACCAGTTGACCACATGTGTAATTAACAGTGCTCTAAGTCAGGGATTAAAGACGTAAAATTGTTCCAATTAACACATTGACACTCTCATCTCGACATGTTCCCGAAGTGTCACACAATTTAATGATACAGTTTGATAAACAAACTAATCGCATGTGACCTTTTACATCTGGGCTGCTTATGTAATTAACCAACCACTTATTGACTTTTAAGTGTACTAGTTGTAGGATATTTTTCTCTTCATGGCACCAGTTAGATTCTCCAATTAAAGATTTTATGCGCCAGAATTAATACATTGTCACATTTGGCGCCATTGGTGAGCTACAGCGAAAACCCTGAGAATAACACACATTCCATTTACCTCATTTTAGTTCACAAATACACTTAAAACAAATAATTCTGCAGATAATATTCAAAATGAATCTATACATTTAAACATCAAATTACCTATTTCACTATGAAACATGACTTACAACAACCTACCTGTATGTCGGCCATGACACTGTGGAACAACATCATCATGAGAACTTGTAATTGTATGATGTAATTCACACAAACTGCTTAGAGTAAAATATTTACCTAATTTTATATTTCTTTTCTTTTTTCTTTGGAACAAGTTTATATAAAATAAAAAAAACAAAGAAAATCATCTTTATAATTTTTTTGAACATGAATTCAAGAGTCACCCATTTGTCGGCGTCGGCTTCAGGTGTACCTGTGGTTAAGTTTTTGCGTGTAAGCTGGTATCTCCATAACTACTGAAGGGAATAGATTGAAACTTCACAAACTTGTTCTCTGTGATTATCCTACATGATTAGCACAAGTCCCATAACTCTTGATTTGTTTTTTTTCATAATTATGCCCCTTTTTTTGGCTTAGAAATTATTGGTAAAGGTTTTGCTTGTAAGCTGGTATCTCCATAACTACTGAAGGGTTTGTGCCTTTTTTGGGACAATTTTATTCATTCATAATAATAAAGCAGTGATTTACTCCATAAAACATCTTAATAACAATTAAGCCTTTGTACCTTTTCGGACAATTTTATGTATTCATATAGGTAAGCATTATTATACTCAATGAAACATCCTTGTGACAACTTTTCGAAAAGAAGAGGGTTGCTGTCCTCCGACAGTTCTTGTTTTTAATGTGTGTATAAATATTTTTTACACAAAAATAGAAATGTAAATTATTTCCTTTATATACTAATGCATGAAGTTTATTATTTTGCTTTTAAACATATACTATATTATCTGTTTAAACAAATACTCTTTGAAAAGCGTTTAATGTAATGGTTGAGGGTAAAATTTACTATCTTAGTCTAGAGTATTTCTATAGTCTTGTATTTTTTCTTTCAATAGTTTGTCTGTCTGTCTGTAGTCTATGCTTAATGAGGTCCCATCTGTCTGTTTGGGCCCAAAAAAATGGCAGCAGTCACTGCGAGTACAAACCCCAGAGATGTCACTTATCAATGAGATTTCTAATTTTAACCCTTAGAAAACCAATTTTTGATTCAGAAAACAGAATAGTACTCATATGTGAGCTGGAACATTTATGGTTATTTAATATAAATATGATTTCGAGAATACATTGTGTAGTAGCAGAGATACCGGTAAAGGCAAGACTGATTTATTACTTTTTAAGTATTTACCGCTATAAAGATATGAGGATATTGATCATAGGAAATTTGTTTGTCTTTAACTGCCATTATCTTGACAGGGCAATGAATTCAAACTTAATTACAATGATAAATGCTCCTTCATTCTTTAATAACTCAGTCTTTACTCAGATTATTGCACCAAATGTATATTTACTTAAGAAAAGGAAACATTTAAGAATAAAAGTGTATAGACAAATTCTTTTGCCTTTTTTTTAAGTTTTAAAAAATTGGAGAAATATTTGTGATTAATGATTGTTTTTTGTTAAGATTTTTTGAATTCTTTTCTTGAATAAAAGTTTTTTGTTTTTTTTTGAAAGCAGAATTTAGAGAAGTCTCAGTTCAAACAGATTAGGAATGTAGTTTATATCAATTTTAATGATATATTTATAGTTAGAAGTACGGTCAAATGAGCCTTGCTTAAGCTATCTATAAACAAGGTTACAAATTACTATAACCTAATGTATAACGCTGAACACTTTTTGTGTTATTCAGGCTGTTGTGCTACATGATTATGTTTGACTTTAGACTACATGTCTGCTCAATTTGGGGGCGTGGGGGGGGGGGGGGTTCTATAAAACTGTAACAGATAGTTACAATTTCTTAGTAGAGACAAGTTTATCAATTAAATCTATCTCAGTAAAGGTTAAAGTAATTTAAGATTAGCTAAAAATTTACAAATAACAAACAATGTTGAGTACTATGATAAATTGCAAGTGCTATGTTTTCTTTTAGGAGAGTTTTTTATCTTTGAAGCCATATGATCAAGGGATATGTTATCTGAATAAAGAAAATAATCCATTTTTTGTATGATATCAGTGTACAAATTTTGACAGTCTTGTCATAATAAGATGTCAATGTTTACTCACCACTTTAAGCCATGTGAAGATTTTCAATAAAGGTGACATATTAAAGTTAAACAGTTCTTTACAATACATTTATTCGCTTGTGTAAATATTAAAAACTTATATTACTTTAAAATTTAAACAAAATTGACAAAGTGATTTTTAACTGTTATGAATACAATAACCCTTTAACATTTTTTTGTAAATGCTTTTCCGTGCCATAGTTTTTAAGAATAATAATGACTTTGTGAAATTTTATATCATGTATATTTTATTAAAATTTCACAGCTTTTGGTTTTTACAATATTAAATTTCTTTCATTTATTCTTGTTTAAATTGATTTTTTATTTAGGTTTTTGGTATATATATATATTGTTACAAGTTTTAAACATATTTTTTACTCACCAGTTACTCATATTTCAAAAGAATATATATCTATAGATTTAATACAGTTTGATATGAAATTTGTTTAAAACTGAAATTATTTGTAGTACATTGTACATGATAGCATGCGTTTAAGAAAAACACAAGATAATTATTTTTTTAATTTTATTTTTATTTAAATTTTAACTTTAGTGAACTTATTTGCTATAACATAGTTTTTATGTTAACTTATTGACAATGTAATATTATGACATTTAATGTAAGAAATGAAGGGATCTTAAAATTATGTTCCCAGTCTACTGGTCAAGTCTCCAAATACAAAGAGAATCTATGTAAGAAAATAGTCATAATTTTACGGGAATTTGTATTGACCAGTTTTTAAGGATATAATGTATAATGGTATATAGTCCGTGTTTAATACTTTTAAAACATATAAAA